GGCCCCTATGCCCGGGAGAGGGAGAGAGAGAGAGAGAGAGAGAGAGAGAGAGAGAGAGGGAGAGGTGGGGGATACGTTCGACTTTCACACCCCGTAATCCCGAAACCATATCGGGTGGGCAAGATGCCCGGGGGTCTTGATCGACCCGTATGCCCGAGAGAGAGAGAGAGAGAGAGAGAGAGAGAGAGAGAGAAAGGTGTTTACATTACATACGGGGTCGTACACTTCTTTTGCCTCTCCCTTCCAGCTTTGATCTGGGTCTTGCTTCAAACTTGTGCTTGCGCCCTGCAATTCGAAATTCGCCCATGTGTGAAACATGAATGGGGAAACCAGCGGTCAGTTCTTCCCCCTTTCAAATGCCAGCTATGAAACTGTACCAGATAGTTGTTTGCTCACATTTGGGGAATACCTACTGACTTACAGCATGTTTTCTGTGAGAGTGTACGGTCATGAGCTTTCGATATCGTAGTCTTTATGGCTTTAGCTTTGCAATGACCTACACTCGGTCTTCACTCCCCTTTACCCGATAACGCATCGGGTGGGCATGATGCCCGGGGGCTTTGATCGGCCCTCATGCCCGGGAGGGAGAGAGAGAGAGGTGCTGCAGTATCAGCCCATGTTTTTTTGGACAGAAGGTGCCCCTGGTGTGCAAAGCCCTTCACCATAGCCCTGGCGAAAGAGAGAGTGAACTGCCCCCGCAGCAAAGAAAGCAAAACGTACCACGCCCATTGCGCCAACCTTTGCAAACAGACCTGAGGGGCAGGTGCACATACAAAGAGACCGGTTGCACGTTTTCGTGCGGGCGAATTTACGACAGCAAGCAAGCGAGAGAAAGAGCGAGACGGAGAGAGCACCTCCACCCACAACCGAGCTCCTGACGAGGGGGAGGATGTCGTCACCCGTGTCCTGAGAAACCTCAAGGAAAAGACCCGTGAGCCTGGTCATGACGAAGACACGGTGGAAGTTGCAGTAGAACATGAAGCACGACCGGCAGATGAGGGGGCCAAGCAGTGCAGGCTATGCCCGGGGGGAGGAAAGCCGACCACAAGAGAGAATCGTCCGCGAGATGACGGTGAAACTTTCCGCTCGACTACGCTCAGCTCCCAGCAGTATGCAACATGTGAGCTCCTCGTCCCACAGATCGAGCGGGGGACTGGCTGAACACTTTCTGCCAGTGGCTTTGGCGGCTGACCGAGCAGCTCAGAAGCCGCGGTCCGCCAACACCCGGGCCCTCCGCGCAAGCGCCACAAGAAAGTCCGGTTTTGAGTCCGCAGAGGGGAATTCGCATCTACACTGTTGTGATGGTCGCGAGTGCAAATGTACCGCTGGGCCTTTTCTTTGACATGTTTCTGCCTCCAGCATTTATGCACCACGTGGTACTGCACTTCAGGAGTCGGGGGATGGACGGTTATACTAGCCTAGCTTTCGTTTAGTACTGACTGGTTCCTTTGTGGATGCTTTTCGACAGTTGCTACCTCCCGCCCTTAGCGACCTGTTGGTATTTTACACCTATGTGACCTTGGTGACCTTGTACACCTTCCATGGTCTGTAAAACGTGAAAAAAACGGTGGAACTGCTTGCTCCCACTGGACTTTTTGACACGCGCGCCTCGCCCTTTGCATACGGCCTGGGGAGATCAGCAGAGTAACATCTTTATGGTGTTTATGTATGGATTTCGTTTTTCGGGGGCTGTCCTGGTTTCTCCTCTGGAGCCGAGCCTCCTGGGGAAAAACTCAGCGGGGATGACTTCACCTGCCAAGAGCCACAGGTGCACGAATTCTCGCGCAGGGTGAGGGACCGGACGCTGCCCTTACCTCTTACCTCGTGCAAAGAGAGGCGAGAGCAAGTCGACCCCTGGGCCCGGCAGAAAGAAAGAGCGACAAAGGCAGAGGCAGCGAGCGAGCGAGCCTGCATCGTGAACTTTACACAGAAGCACACTAAGCCCGGAGAAGGAGAGAGAGATAGATAGATGGAACGATAGATAAATCGATGGATAGATATGGAGGTTCTTGGTACAGAACGGCCCTCGCCCATGCACGCTTCACATCTTTCACCCGCTCGCTGTAAAGCCACTAACCCACGGCGCGTACGCACACGGAGGGGTGGTGGCAGCCGTCCCTCTTGGCTGTGTGGAAGAAGATAGATAGGGAGATAGACAAGAAGGTCTTTCCGAAAGGGGTTCCCTTCTAACATATGGGGGTGCCTGGAGCGCGGAGGCGGGGGTCGCTGGCCCTCCTCTTGAGAGAGAGAGAGGGAAAGAAAGAGACTGGCTTTCCGTGGTGCTTCGGATGTCTGGAAGTAGCTGTGCCGCTGAACGGATGCCCGCAGTTGGCAGGATGCGGATGCCCGGAGCGGAACGCCGGAACCAAAGCGATCAGCCAAGCAGGCGTGATTTTTTTCTAGTCACATCCGATCCCCGCTCCGGGACCCTGCTCCCCGCTCCCGGCTTCGCTTGAGGCCGCCCAGAACGAGCTGGAGCTGGTCGAGAAGAAGGTGCTTCAAAAGATCCACTCGGAAGGAACTGTCGGCGAGGCCGCAAGCGGTGCAGCCACAGCCGGTGGGCCCTCCGCCGCCGTGGATCCAGGCACCTTTCTTCAGAAGAGTTGTGTTGGTGAACATGCTTCTCTCTTTGTGCACTAGTTGACCCCTCTTTGCTGCCATTCAGAGACATTCTCAACCTGCAGATCCTGGGAAGGTGCATCATTCAACGCTGGCGGAACATACTCAGACTTCGAAGGAAGCGATGGCGAGGCCCTGTTGACTTGGCTGACGTACTCGTGCAAACAGAGACTCGGAATTCAAGAGTCTGTCAGACAACACCAAGGCTCCAGCCGCCGCAGAATCGCAGGGAGAGGCGCATCGCGCCTGAGCCACACGCTCCTGATCCTTTGCATAGTCCTGCCGTCTTGTGGCAGGACTCTGAGTATGAGGATGATTGCGAAGCGGAGGATGCCTACAGTGATACTTTCGAGGTTGAAGATGCAGATGAAGACGCTGAGGAAGCTGAGAGTGAGGCGAACAGCCCCCCTGGCAACATTGCCGGCAGCATCATCGGCAACATCGTTGGTAGCGTCTCTGCAGCCGGGGCCGATCCCCCGGAGACAGGCCCCGCGGTGGGCCACGCGATCAGCGAGCCCTCGGACTCCGCCAGCCGATACTCGGAACCGGAAGAGGCTCCGATTGCTGAGGCCGAGGAGCCCGAGTCCGAATACTCGGAGAATCTCGAGGTGGAGGCAGAGGTTTCCGAATCCGACAAACAAGACGCAGGAGGTCGCGATTACTACACGCCCAGCGAGGCATCTAATCCGGATGGTGGTGTCGATGTGCATCAGAGCTTCCTGGTTGTTTCAATGCAGAGGGCACCAGCACTCTTAAGGTACTGTAGTAGCCAGGTGCAGTGTGAAACAGCCTGAGCCTAGGCTCCATCGCTAGCTACGATGACGACGGCATTGTCGAGGAGGACTCAGGTGAGTTGCGAGCTGAGCATGGTTCTCGATCGGCACAGGTGAAATCTCTGCCTCTGGTTTTGTTGCCAGCACTTTCAAGCTGTTTCAGGTCCCTGCATCCACCAGGAAGGTCTGATTGATGTGCAGCTACAGTCTGTGAGTTCTTGTTTGTGGAAGGCTCTCACCTGGCAGGATAGGACACTGTTTCACTCGGTTGTTTTCGCAGATATTTGCAGGCGCATGGGAAGTGTGCGATTTGTAGCGTTTCGTTTCCGAAAACCGGAAGAACGGACCCTGGCAGCCCTGGCAGCCCTGGCAGCGCTGACATAATCTGACATGCAGTCCACAGTGCTACGTGCATCGGGCGGGTGATCGCAGAGCTTCTGACTCCTCTCTGCATGTCCGGAAACGAGGGCTGCAGAACCACCAGACTCAAACTGCCCGAAAGAGGGGCTGGGCGGCTGGATGGTGGCATGTTGGAGGTATGGGTCAGGCTGCGCCGTATCGGTGTTATCTCTTGCAGGAAAAGCTTATGATGCCACCGAAGGTGTCTGTCTGAAGTAGATCTGCTGTGTTCCGCACAATGCATCAATGCAGATGACGACATCCGTAGTTTGGCTTCAAACATGAACCAAGAGGCAGTGCAGCCCAGACCCAGTGTTCCAAAATGGAAAACCGTGGATGATAAGCAAGGAGTTTTGGATGGGGCTCAACTGATCCAGCAAGATCGGCAATTCCATTACACTTGGGGCGTCTTGCGCCAAAGTGCAAAGCTACTGTAGCAATCAACCCTGTCCACGAGATCTTTCTCATCCACAGTTCGTTTGCATGGTCTCTGCGCGGCTTCTACTGGGTGCCCTGCTGGCCTTGGGGCTGTCAACCAGTGCGGAGGATCCCGGCCTGTTGGCAGAGGCGGGAGCTGCTGGAGGCTGGAGGTCGCAGATGCGGCTCAAAGCCCCGAGCTCTGGGGCAGGTCGCGCGTCTGAAAGCCGAAGTCGAGCGCCTCAAGGCGTGGTTGCCTGCGGTGTATGCTCTGTGCTCGCTGCGCTGGCCTGGGCAACCGTTTTGGAGTTTTGTCTGGCTCGCCATTTGTCTCGAGCCTCTAAATTTCAGCATTCCCCCTCTTCCCAGAAGTCTTTCGCTGGATGTGCGTTGGCCTTGGCCTGCTCGCAAGCAGTATCTCATCCTGCGATCATCACCATCATCATGATCACGAGCATCTTCAAGGGAATCATCAAGGTCATCATCGTTACCTTGACCATGATCACGTAAGATGCCCACACTCTCGATCTGGTACCTAGGCCCAGACGACGGAAATCGACGGAATGCTGCACCGTTTCGTCAACAAATGGCTTGCCTTCGGCTAAGTCGTTTGATTTGCATGCCTGATTCGTGGTGTGCTTGCTTTGTGTGAAAGGCATGAGTTGAGACTCTCGGCAGCATGCTTGTTGGGCTCCAGGGATACCTCTGTAAACCTTCAGCGGGCATGGGCTCGAGCCTTGTGCCTGTAGCGAACTGCTGTCTGCCCTGCAACCCCTTGGGGCAGAGTCCAAGATGGGAAAACCCGATACCAATGCCTTGGACTTTGGCTTGACTCCATCAGCGACCGGGGCTACGCCCACCATCCTCGCACAGCCACAGTATGCACCTCCGACGAAGAGCGACTTGTCTTGGACACTCTTCATGATCTATGCGTGCAGCTTCTTGGAGGGTGCGGACGTTCAACTTCTTCCAGCATCCTACCGAGCCATCGAATCAGAGCTTGGCCTTTCGCCCAGCACTTTGGCAGCCGCGAACTTGTTCCAGGGCATTACCCTGGCAATCTTCTCAGTTTTCTGGGGCGTGCTCTCCGACAACGGCATCCTTGCTCCCCATCAAATTCTCTATGGAGGTTGCACAGCATGGGGCATTTTGACTCTCTTAACAGCCGCAATTAACGACACAAGCTGGATCCTTATCATCAGGCTCTTCAACGGTGTGGCGTTGGCAACTCTTTCTCCTACCACGCAGTCCCTGATCGCCAGCGTAGCCCCACCGCAGGAGCGAGGTCGCTACTTCTGCTGGCTCGGCTTCATGCTTGGCCTGGGCGCGATGTTTACAGCAATCATGACGACAGCGATCTCTAACATGGTTTTCTATCCTGGCATCAAAGGATGGCGCGTGGCATTCGCAGTGATCGGTGTGGTGAGTGTTGTTCTTGGGCAATTCGTGAAACGCTTCGCAGTGCTCCCAGCAGATCTGGCCCAGTGGGAAGAGAAGATTGACAAGGAGAAGAACGAGCCCGAGACACCTGGCCAAGAACCTCTGAGCTTCACCAACGAGCTGAAGACGATGATGCGCTTCTTCGAGGCCATGCTTTTTCAATTCACATTCATAGAAGTCTGTAGAAGTTTGAAGCTGTCTCACCCGTGAAGGTGTGGTCGTTTTCTGTCATCGTTCTCCAGGGCTCTTTCGGATGCATCCCTTGGTCTGCCATGGCCTTCGGGACAATGTTCCTGCAGTACAGTGGCGTTTCCGACCTCACCGCAGGGTGCATCTCCAGCGTCATGCTCTTGTGCTCGTCCTTTGGAGTGTTAATTGGCGGATATGTCGGGGACCACATGAATAGGTCCGGTGCTCAGGAGAGGCTGACATGACTTTCCGCCCGCAGTCTTTGAACTCCTTTTCTTTTGCAGGTGGAGCCGATTTCATGGCCGGCCCTTCACTGCTCAGATCGCGACTGGAGTCGCCGTTCCCACAGCCGTTATCTTCTACACAGTCTTGCCACGTAGTCCTGACCCATGACGGAATGTGGCAGACGCGATGCGTAGGCTCCTTAAGGGCATCATGCCCAGTCGTGCGTGTGTCTCCCCTTAAACCGCAATCTCAGGACAGCGTGGGAGCTTGGTTCATACTCGTGATAGTCTTCGGCCTCGTGTGCACTTGGTCAGAGTTCGGCGTGAACCGACCTATTTTGACGGAGGTGGTCTCCGTGAAGCATCGGGCTAGGACGGTACATGAAAGATGCAGTCCTCCTGAGTATAGGGTCGAGTCTTTCATGAGGATGTCCGTGTCTTGGTCTTGACAGGATTCTTGGAGTGATGTGTGCCATTGCCGGCTCTGCTGGAGCGATGGGTGGGCCTTTAGTCGCCCTCATCTCCGAGCAGTGGTTTGGCTACAAGACACAGCACCGTCCCCTCAGTGAAGTGCCCGAGGACCAGAGTTGGGAGAAAAAGCGGTAAACAAAAACCTGTGCAGCCTCTTGCCGGTAATGCTAACTTCAGACGGGGACCCTATTTTTCTTGACCTTTGTTTTTTTTTTTTCTTTGCCCTTTTTGTTTTTCCTTTGGGGGCCTCGGTTAAAGGCGGTCGTTCTCCATGCGTTTGCTTTGCGCTCCGCTTTCTGCCGCTTGCTGCTTTCTTTGCTTGTTGCTTTGTTGTGATTGTTGCTTTTGCCACCACCACCACCACCACCACCACCACCACCACCACCACCACCACCACCACCACCACCACCACCACCACCACCACCACCACCACCACCACCACCACCACCACCACCACCACCACCACCACCACCACCACCACCACCACCACCACCACCACCACCACCACCACCACCACCACCACCACCACCACCACCACCACCACCACCACCACCACCACCACCACCACCACCACCACCACCACCACCACCACCACCACCACCACCACCACCACCACCACCACCACCACCACCACCACCACCACCACCACCACCACCACCACCAATGACAACAGCACCACCGACAGCGACAACGATATGCACAGCGACAGCGACAAGGACAACAACATCGTTGATAATAACTTCAACAGCAACATCCACATCCACAGCCACAACACCAGACCTGTCATGTAAGTGCGAGTCTTAGGGCAGGTAGGAGTAGGAGAGCCAGTGGGCCGACAAAAAATGAACAAGACCTCGAAATTAGAAGGGACAAAAGTGCGGAAGAGCTTCGGGGCAGCTCACAGGTGTAGATGTAGTTTGTACGTCTCACACCATGTCGCAAGTTTCGGAAAGCAGTTCGCGCATGCATGTGTCTCAGACACGAGCTTCCGCTCAACAACCACGCCTCAAGTTTGCGGAAAGCATCGGTCACTGAGTGCGAGAAACTTTCTCTCTTGGGTTCTCGGAAGTTTTGACGACGACGCTGATGCCTGCTGTCGTGACAGTAGGCCGAGGGCCTTTCAGGCCTGACTGGCAGTGCAAACCCCAACCCCAATCCCCAATAGCTTAATAATCACTCGTCGCAGGACCCTCTGTGCAGCGGGTGCGCTTGGGAGAACCCAGGCTCTTGAGGTTTAGATTTCGAATTCTAGATGGGAGGGTTGTCGTATAAAAGAGAAGTTCTCCTATCCGAAAAGAAGAAAAGACAGGTTTTCCTGTGGACATGCAAATGAAACCAAGTGTTTGTGCTTAGTAGTATACAGAGAAGACAGAGGGTTTTCCTAACAGAGGGAAACAGAAGTTTTCCTAGGCAAACAGAGGGAAAAGAGATGTTCTGCGGTGGAAATGCAGAGAAACCCAGGGGATAGAGTTGTTTTCCTGGGTAAAGACGAAGAACGCAGGAGCCCAGGGCAAAGAAAAAAAAAAGGTCAAAAAAAAAGGCAAAGGAAAATTTTACACCCACTTCAGACCGGCATGCAGATCCATCCCAAGCCACCGAATCGAGTTCATAAGATTGGAAAGGCAGACACAGGCAGCCCTGCACCCAACGCTCCAATCTCCAATCACCGGGAAGTATGAACAGTTGTACTGGCACCGGTGCCAAAAATGCAGTGGAGACTCGATTGAAAGCAACTTCCCGACGTCACCCATGCAGGACGTCCGGAGGCATAACGTGAACGCACTGGGACTGGGTCTCACGGTGATGCCTCTTGGTAGCATTTTGTGACGGTTCCAGCTATCCAGCTTGAATTGTGAATACGTCAAAGCAGCTGGCCTTGTGACTTGAGGTGCGCAGTGCCGTGGACCATCTGTTTCCTTGCCTACGGCGCACTACATTGGACCTATGAGGCTGATCTGTCCAAGCTTCACCGCTTCGATGTGCAGACACCTCTGAACTCGAAGAGGGCAGGGTCGGATGATGAAGAGTGGCTTCATGAACCGCCCTTCTGGGTTGGTGGCAGCCCATAATGACCTGCTGGAATCCGCAGCAGGCCTGTTGTGCGCCACTGGAGACCCCAACGTCTGCCGAAGGAGAGTGTATCTTTTCGTGAGAATATCTTCAATCTTCACCTGAGATGGCAAGCTTGCCCGTGCTGACAAATGAGAGCTTGTGTCTACTTTCGCGGTACATGTCGTAGACGAAACATTGACTACGCCTGCCTCTGTCCGTAAGTCTCGCATAGACTGCTTACAATCCGAGGCTGCCGAGAACGAATGGTGAGCGACGTCTGAAGTTCCCGGAGCTATGTTGTGGGCAAGAAAAAGGATGCGAGCAGTCCGGGCGGCAAATCCTTTCAGGGTGCAAGAAAGAGTCAGCGTGTGCAAGGAGAGACTTTCACTACTCTGCGATTCCTGTGCAGGCTACACAAGCTCCAAATCCTCCGCAACAGTTCGGGCCGCGAACTTAAGCCCTGCCGTGGCTGCCGTGCAGATGCAAATCGACTGGATATTTTGGTTGGGAGGTATGGACAGGCATACGGACAGCACCAGGGCGGAGGCACCTTTGGTGTGCCGGTCAACCCGGGCTTCGGCCAGGGCCAGCCCTATGGCCAAGGCGGTGCATACAGCTTCGGGCAGCAAGCTCAGCAAGCTCAGCAAGCACGCGGAGCCTACTCCTATGGCGGCCAGCAGCCAGGCTACGGCCAGCAGCCAGGCTACGGCCAGCAGCCAGGCTACGGCCAGCAGGCATACAGCCAGCAGCAGGCTTACAGCCAGCAGCAGGCTTACAGCCAGCAGCAGGCCTACGGTCAGCAGCCGGCATATGGCCAGCCAGTGCAGTACCAGGCACAAGGCTATGCGGGGCAGAACTATGCTTACAATCAGCCCTCTACTTGGAGAATGTTTCGTGGCATGGTCTTCACATCTGCAGCGGATCGATGGAAGAGTTTCCGCAGAGGAGCCACCTTATACCGGAGTCTCGCAGATCTTTTCCCAAGGCCTGAGCAGGTGCAGCGATCAGCCGCGGAACAGCTGGAGGCGATGTGCGGATCATGCCAAACGGTATGCTGTAGGTGCAGCTGATCTCGGAAGGCGCTCCGGCAGTCCTTCGGAAGTCTTGGAACATCCCCGTCTGCCACTTTGACGACATCTCCAGGTGCGCACACACAAGGTTGAGGAGCAGAGTTGTTGATCCTCTTTGCCTAGGCACGCGATACGAGTACACGACCACCCCAGTATGTGTAAGTGTGTGTACGTACAACATCCTGGCTCACGGGGCCACCCCCAGTCACCACACCTCGGCATCACCATTCGTGACTTGGGGTCCAGGACAGCAACTCATCCCATAGCAACGAAGGCAACGGCATCAGCCTTCGATGCAGTTGCCCGACAAAGCACTGCCGGTACGCGGGGTAGCATGTGCACAAAGCTGGCTGGGAGGATGTATGAGTCGATTTCTGTTGCAGATGTTCGCTAGCTCGTCCGTGTCTGGAAAAACTGCATCGTTGGTTCGGCTGTAGTTTAGCCACGTTTCGCCGGGATCGTGTTTGAAGATCTTTCGGGTTCATGCTTTCACCCTCATCTTTCTTTCCTATGTTTCTGTATTACTACCCATGATTCTGCTTAGGTGTTCTGTTTCTACAATTGTTGCTGTTTGCAAAACGGCCGGTATGTCACCCGTGTCAGCTCCGATGGCCGATGCTTGCGCCTCCAATCCGCTGTTTGCAAAGCTGCCGCGAGCCCACAAGCTTTCGCTGTTCTAAAAAAGACCGGTGTCACAAGCATCCGGCTGAAGGCACAGTGCGTTGCAGAAGCTCGCCCTTCTCGAGCAGGACCCTGTCGAGGCACTGGAGCCGGAGCTCGGATCCCGTCCTTCGGCTCTTCCGCAAAGAGCCGTGGGCCGTGGTTTGTACGCTGTCCCGCTCGGAGGCGTCGTATCAGATCCACGAGGCCTGGGAAGAGCCCCGGGCCTGGGCAAAGCGCTTTGCAAATGCAGCCGCGCAGCGGCGCGGCGCAGCGTGACGTCACACGTGCTTCGCTTCTTCATTTCTAAGGAACCCGGCGTTGTTCGATGCCTGCCCTGCTGGGGTGGTGACGGCTTTAGTATATCTTTCCATAGCGCAGGACTGACACCCCGCTTGGGTTGCGGATGATTTCGGTCGCTTCAAGCTGCAGGACAGAGACTGGAAGTACAGACTTCTTCACCGAGCCCGGCCACTTAGAACTGCTTGAAAATAACAAGTCCTGAACACTTTGACCCGCCTTACCTAGCATCAGACGGTCACCATGCATCCTCCGATGTTGAAGTTGTGTTCTCATCAATAGCCGCTTATGCTTCAAGTCACATAAGCAATTGAACAGTGTGGCTTCACCACGGTGGAAGCCCTCTTTCCCTAACTGGTAAATTTTGCAGACGGGATGCAGGATAAGTGTGGGACTCCTGCGGAACGATCAGATAACCAGTATGATTCAGTATGATATTACAACTGCATAGCAAGACTACGCGGCTGGCCAAGCAACATGATAATTTAACGTTTGATGTTTTCGGCACGCCTTTCCTCCTCCGGATTTGGCATTCGTCGAAGCGGATTCGGGCCAAGATCGTGCGATTACAAACGCGTTCTGTTACGGACATAAAGAGAACGATTAAAACGTGCAAGGAGCACACTTCGCGCAGTACTGCGCAGGAATGGATAGCAGTAGCAGTGAGAAGTCTGCAAGGTGGTAAACCCGTGCAAGCCGGTTGATGTCCCACGACCACTCTGCAGGCCTGCTCTTGCCGTGACGGGACCTTGAAGCGACCGGTAGGGAGGCGCTTCAGGCCCTTGGAAAGAACGGACATCTGACTAGAATGCAGCGAAACATAGCATCTTAACGTCACAGCAAGCCGGATCAGGCCTACCATTCACTGATTTCCGACGCAGAATCTGCACGTGCATTGCAAGAGGGAAGAGAAACCGGTGGTCGCATATCCGTGATCGACTGTGACTACCTGGAGCGTATGTGGATCACATCCAGTTCACAGTATGAAGACGAAACGGCATGGGAAGTTAAAGGAGAAGCCTGCAAAATCCACAATGCTGAGGCCACCTACATGCTGTACGCAACGCCCGGGCTAATGTCCAAGATGGCCGCGCCCTCTGCATGAACGACGACGTCAATCACGAGTCACCAGTGACTGGTGCCGCGTCAGCACGTTTGCTAGGAGTCCGGCCGCTGGCCGATGTCGGATAGGCAGGATTTGCCTGAAGTCAGGCACTGGCTCAATCAACCTGTGGTGTGATGTGGCAGGCTGATTAGAACCATGTACCACAACTCGGAGGTGCTCCTCAAAGTCAGACTGATGGCCATCGCTGGTCCTTGTACTTTCAAACTGTAGAAGCCAGACTGAGACCTGCCGCCTGCCGCCAAGGTTCTGGGGAAGCAGCCCTTGAAACTGGCTGAAGTTAAGGCCTAGCTTTTGCTTGCAGGCCGAAGGGCAGCGCTCAGCTTTCGTCAGTGTCAGGTGGAGCCTGGTCCAACAGCGGCCTCTCCGGCCGGGAGCCTCAGAGCAGCGGATCCTGGGTTGAGGGCTCTGACGCAGCTCCCAGGCAGGTGGTCCTGGTATGGGCGAAGCCGTGGACCTCGGAATGAGGCCCTCAGCCGTTCTCTCAAAGCTGCGCGCCAGTGCTTCCCAGTGCTCCCTGCTTCTCTCCAGGCATCGAGACTCAGTGGCGGTTCATTTCACCACCGTCCTGTTCTATCATTTCTACCATCAGGACGGGTCGTGTAGACACAGGGCAGCTTGCGAGTTTTCAGGGTATGGGATTTGAGGGGCATGCCGTGCCGTGCAACACATTGCATCACCCTCCTCTTAGGCGTTGGACTGTTAAGGGGTGCTCGACCTGGACCGTGTGAGAGTACTTGCTGCGCACGTGCGCACATCAGGAATTGTTGGGTCCGAAGCTGCTGATACTTGATAACCGGATGATTCATTCTTGCCGCGGACGAGGAGCGATCCCCATGTGCGTGCCGCACGCGCTCTTGGTGCCTGCCGTTCTGGACAAGGCAACCTCCTGCGTACTCAGTTGGTAGAAACGCCACAGAACCGAAGATGGAGCATGTGGTGACGCGCAATGAGTAGTCAGTGGTAGCCTTGGAACCACCTACGCCCTGCGCGCGCACACACACACACACACACTCGTGCAATCCTCCCTCTGGACTGATGATAATTGTCGGAACTCAGTCTTTCAACATAGAGGTATAGGATTTTAAGCCACTAGGCAGTAACATCAAACACACTTATTGGGGTTCTCGGCTTAGCCCCGAGCCATAACACTTGCAAAAAACTGGCAGGTACGCTGGGTTGATCAGACCCAGTATCAGCCGTGGCATAGCCCTCTTCGTTGGGCAACCAGCTATGCTCACGGGGTTGCCCCCCTGCAAAAATCATACATATTAGCAAACCTTGGCACACAGGTGTTCCACACACACACACCGCTAAGCGGGGTAGCCCTGAATGGCATCACTTTGTTGACACACCGCAGTGGACATTTTTACACTAACAGATTCTCCAGGTGATATGGCACCGAGCGATGGTGGTGCGAGTCCCATTTATGGGTACGCACTTTTACATACTATTAATGAACATGGCCTGCAAAGATGCTGGCAAAATCGAATTATTCATGCAAATTTGGCTTTCACGGAGTAGTGCTCCTCTTTCTTTTCCGAGGAGACTCAGAACAATCAGTGCGACTGAAGGAAGCATTGGTGGTCTCAGGTGGGTGTGAGCTTGAGCTCCACAACCTATCTGCAGTAAGACGAGTCTGGATCCACTGCTGTGTGGCAGGGAACCACGTTTTCCACCAACGGTCTTGACCATCAGCTGTCGTACTTCTAGACCAGTAAAACCGCCACGAAATCTGCGGAGACCGGGATCTGCTCCGTTCCGACATGATGGACTGACTAATCTCAACTGAAAGCCTCAAACTGATGAAACAATTCAGTAACATTCACAGCACAACAAGCAAAGAGCTGGTGGAGACTACGATGCTGTTTTGGCTCTGTCTCGCATCTGCTCAGAAAAATCTTCACTGTTTAGTTGGCCCGAACTCATCCTGGATGAGTTTGACAGGGCAAAGATGCTTCAAAACATAGTGGCAGGAGCACCTGTAGCCACTGCGGGCTTGCATCTTGGCAGCTGCTTTGCCACGAAACTGGTAAGGTTGTGGCACATCAACAGGTGGCTTGATAGACCCCGGCAGGGGGTACATAACTTCCGAAATGGGATCGAAAAAGTTCGGAGCATCTGAAGTTCTTGATGGCATCGCGGTAGAAGACTTGGAAGTCTTTTTGGACTTCTTCTTCTGTTTCTTTTTCTTTTTCTTCTTTGTACTATCATCGTCCTTAGGACGATTCTTGCACCTTTTGGAAACTGGTTGAGATGTTGCATCAAAAGCAGAATGCCACGAAGAAGTCGACGAAACAGGTGAAGGCTTCCGATGTTCAATGGCTTGATCCATGGCTACCGCAAAAGGAGGGCAGCATAAGAGCCAAAAATTCTTACATCAGACGGTCTATCCTGACATAGCTTTGCATATGTAGGGTATTGCAACATTGAGCAAAGCACCCACACACATTGCACAATCTTTTTCTGCTCTACGAATTAAATCAGCTTGCAGCTGAAGCAGCTGAAAAAGCTGCGGCTGCTGCCATGAGGTTCTCTTCCTCAGGATCATCTGCATCTGGCAGCTCTATCTTAGGGGTTGCCGGATTGCCCCATGGGCCCCAGCTGTCGTCAGGAGGGCCATCTGCCAGAGCCAAAGTAGGCTCGTTGTCGACAGCTTTGAGCCTAGTTTTGCGGCGTTGTCTGCTCTCTTGCTGAGGATAGTCAGCTTTGCTTCGTTCTGAAAGAACAAAGACAAAATCAATGCGAGCCGCCGCGAACCGAATTGCCCACCGTCTGTCCGAAGAGCAGCTGTGGACCAAAGCATGAAATCTCGCCAGATTGTTCTCATATCTGGTGCATGCATTCTTGCCCTTAACATGGTTGCTGGGCAATAAGCCTGCAAATACCGCCCCAGAACAATTCTTAGTTGAGTGGTAGCACTTGCAGGCAAGCTGTACAACTCCTGCACCCCAATTGGGGTTTGTTGTACTTCTGCCGTAGAAGGAAAACGTATCTTCTTGAGGTTCGAGGCCGGCTACACTGTGATCCGTAGGCAGGATCTTGCCCGTAGCCAAAATTCCTGTGACCCCTTCTCTGGTAGTGGCATGTGCCCAGAGATGCCAGTTTTGCTGGGCCAGGGGTGGGCCGGGAAAACCTGTACACCTGAAACGGTATCCAACTACATTTTCTTCCACATCATGAAACAGTGAGGCACCTTCTTCGAAGTGCCTCTCATAATGAAGTCTGGACTGCAAAATGCAGTCAACGAAGCCGAAAAATTCTTCCTTGCCTATGGTATTCGATGGCACCTGCTCTGGAAACAAACTAAGCAAACACCGAGCACATCTTTGTCTCTCAGGGTCTTTGAGAGACGAAAAAGGGCGCTGGTACTTGCGAACCAGTGCCGCTCGGGCTGCATTGCTTCGCAGTGCTTGCCAGGGTGCCATGACCCACTGATCCGGAAACGGCGCAGTCAAAATTTGCTGACGATAAAAGAGGTACTGGCTCAGGGTGGTCATCCCACCTGGAATATGATCCACTGCTGAAAATCCTGACAGCTGGATTTCCAGCTGATCCTCCACATCATTGATATTGGCAGACATGAGGCCCCGAAAAAATTGATCGTCAATCTGTTGCTGGCTTTCCGATGGAGCCAGCTGGTTGGAGGTTGATGGCCCTTTCTTTGCCGGCTTGGCCTGCTTACCTTCGCCTGTGGCCCCACCGGTTCCGGTGCTTTATTGGGCCTAGCCAGCCTCGGCGGTGTATGAGGCACGGCTGGTCGCCTTAAATCCGGAGCCGCAAAAGGTAGAGTAGAAGGAGGCGGCAACGGCGGCGGTGGTGGAAACCAGCATGCAGAAACATTCCCCGGGGGAGCATGATGTGGAGGCGTGGCGGCAGAACTGGCCTCGGTGGGGGAACCCAAGGCGCTGGTGCTCGCCAATTGCCCGGTGGATACATTGGCTCTTCCCTCCTTGGCCGGTCCCTAGTAGGTGTTCGGCTTCGCCGATGCCTCTTTGATCTTCCTCGGGACCTTTCTTCACGACGCCGAGAGGGTGATCTGGAAGAATATCGTCCACGATGCGACCGGGCTGGTCTTGGCCGTGGATGAGGATGTGGCTCTTCCACCGGAGCCGGCAGTGACAAAACAGGCGCTAACGGGCTGGTTCCTTTGGATCCTCCCTTACTCAATGTGTCACCACAGAAAATTGAAACACATAGGAAGCCAACAAAGGATGCCAACTATTAGAGCTGCCACGAGCCAAGCTCGCAGTAATGGGAATTGATGCCAATAGAAACCGATACGGAAACTTCACAGTAAGCAACAAAGTCAGAATTTTGACACTTTCAGGTCAGCAGTTCTGCAGGGAAACCCTTAGCTATGTACAATTCGCGGAGTCCCTGCAGTTGATGTTTGCGACTGCTCGGAGGCCATGCATACTGTACAATCAAAGCTTTCCGAGATAGATAACCTGAAATTCGAGTGGACCAACTCCCTGCGGATCTTGGATTTCTGATAGACCAGGCTTTGTCTGGTTGCAGGTAGGTCACTGTTCTGTTGGCCATGTTGAGCCGGAAGCCCAGAAATTGATGATTTGTAACTTCTTCCAGCTGGATAGTCCCTCCGTAAAAAGAGAGATGTTGAAAATCCTTCATGCATTGATGCGACAGAAAGTTCTCGTCGCACACAACGAGTCGGTTGTCAACATACCTGCAGACAAACAGTTCCGATGCTTGGTTGTCAAAAAACCTAGCTGAACTCAGGAACTGATGCCATTCTCTTTGCCAACAGGATTCTCTTTGAATCACTGGAAGACTGCTGAGTACCGGGCTGATTTGATTGCCTATACATGTGCCCCGGTGTTGCCTGAACAACAGGCCAAGAGTGGTAAACACTCCTGCTTCGAAAGAGGTCTGTACAATAGCAGTCAAGTCGGAAACATGAAGAAATCGTATGTGTTTGGCTCCCTTTGACATGGGTTTACCTGGCCAAGCCGACTCACAATTGGGTTGCTTTTTCAGGGATACCGTAATCTGTGGAGGGTATTCCTGGTCTTGATACAGCTGTACAAGCATTGACAAGGAATCCAGGATTTGCTGTCTGGGCACAGAGTTGAAAAATCCCACCAAATCATCGTTGACCTCGGCAAGATGCACCATAAGAGGGGTGCGACGAAGAAACTGATGCAGCTTCTTCCAAAGTTCAGGGGTGGTGGCTAGACCCATGGCCTCAGGCCAGACCAAGCGGACCATCAAAAGGATCGCTTGCGCAGCTGCAATCAACAACTTCTTGATACAGCTGTTGGAGTACGATATTATCGTCCTCCCCTTCAAAAATTCTTTCTTTCTTTTGAGAAACACGAACCCAACCGGTAGGGTGCCGGAAGCATTGATTCCCCAGCGATATCGTCTTTTCAGTGTGCCGGGAATCTGTTGGAAAACTTGTTGGTTCCAGAGTTGTTGGGAGCCTTCCACAGGCTCGAAAACATCTGGATCCTGCCAGGTCTTCATGGCAGCTTGAAGATAGAATTTGGGACAGAAGACCATAAGATGATTCGGTTCATGGTCTTCACAATGCACGATAAAATGTCGATGCAATAAGCTGCGAGCAGCAGAAACATCTCTCCACGTGAGCCGACTTTCTTGGCTCAGGTGATCGAGGTGTTTGCTCCATTGCTGCTCGAGAAATTGCTGAAAAGTTCGATCTACACCCTTGGGAAGACAATGCTTGCGCCTCCAAGATGCAAACATACGGGTGTTGTGATTGAAAAATTCTCCTTTGGACGGAAAAACCGCTGAAGATGCACTGCCACTCCCTAGTTTTTCAAAGGAGTGGTGGAGGCTGCCTAGTTGTTCAATGCCAGCTACAACATGGCCTCTAGTGAGGCACTGTTCTGGCAGCAGTTTGGTGTAGTAACTGCAAGGACACGGTGCATCAGCAACACAATGATTCTGTAACCATTGGTCCCAGTCTTTGAAATTATGCATAAAGTCTTTGAGAGACTGGTGGGGTTGCTCTCTGACTTTGCACACTGGTAAATGAAAAGGTATAAGAATCGGCTTGTGTGCCAACACAAGCTTTCGGATCCATCTGGACACATCTGACCCGAAGCTTGGGGATGCAGTGAATTTCACAACTGCAAGCCTAGGGCCGCCGAGGGCCAGGACATATTGCGAAACTGACAAACACTACGGAGCACTTTCCTGGCCTTACTGTTGCCAGGCTCTTCCAGGCAGTTGCTCAACCGAATCAGGGAGTAAATCTCGTCGGGAAGGTATCGGTCGCTTCGCAGCTTTCTTGCCTCTTCAAAGGGGGCACGGCTGAAGCATGTGAGATTGAACAGTATCTCCCATGCCGACCTTCTCTTGAGCTGAAAAGGAACGGGCTGAAGTTGTCTGTGGAGTTTCTTTCTCAATTTTCTCCACAGTCTTAACCCGAACCTAGAGGACACGCTGTGTCGAACTCTCTTATTGGGTCGAAAGCCCAATGCACTCCTTTTCAGAAAGGAAGTAATGTATGGGTGATTCAGTTTGGGCTGCCACATCCCAATTAAGCAGTGCTCAGTAACCCATGCTTCTTTGTAAGTTGAGCACGGGGAAACAAGAAACAAAGTATACTGCTCAAGACACTGATTGGACACCCAATATCGGATGGCTAGCTCGGCCTGAGCTTCACCTCCGCTTGCCAGCTTCCTGGCTACTGAGAATCTATTAGACTCTCTTCGAAAAACTGATTGGCTCGTGGAGCCTATGCACATGAATGTGGAAGGCTGCCTGTAGTGCTCAATACTTCAAAAATGGCGCCAGTCCACTGCTGTTTTCATGTACACCGCATTCTGAGATTGAAATGTTGGCCACGTGTAGGTGGCAGGGTGCACCCGAAACTGCTGAAGCTTCTGTCGAATAGTCTCAGCATACGACGATAGAGAGCCTTCTTGAAAGTAAAACAACAGCAGAAGATGAAGCAGGCCTTGGGCCCAAAGTGCCGACTCTTTGTTGAAGCCCGGACAGTGGTGTAAAAAGAACGTCACAGCCTCTCCCAACATACAAATTTGCTGCTTAACTCCCTGTTTGCTGGAGGCAGCAAGCTGTTGGCATTGAACTGCTAGTCAAGCAGTTTGAAATTGTGCAACAGCAATCACAGTAGACAGATTCTTGATAGACAGTCTGGATGCCAGCTTCGGATCCAGTCCGAAATCTTAGGCAGCTGAAACCAGTTGATCTTTAGAGGCTTCAGTTTTGAGAAGCTTCTGAACAGTCTGTACATGCTTGACAAGCAACTGGTACTTGCCTTTAAACTCTGGCTTGTTCTTATAAGTGGCCAGCCATTCAGTGACATGGTCATCTGTGGCTCCTTTGGGACGAGTCTCCAGCTTGCGTTGAGGGTCCTTAAGGAGCTGTTCAGCTTCCATCTGGGATTCCGGCTCAGCAATAGGCATGGCGGGCTTTGCCCGTTTTTCTGAGTCTGGCTCAGGATCTTCAGTTGCCTTCCTCTTCAAAGGGGACATTGCAATGCCATGCTCAGCCAGCTTGGCTTTAGCTTTGGCGAGCTCTTCAGAGGCATCCGAATTTGTTGGAGGCGCTTTTGGCCAAAACACAATTCAGAAGTTCTTGAGCAAGCGGTTCCATGAATCGCATTGCCTCCTTGTGCTTGTCCGGAGGAGCTGAGCTGTGACAAGCTTTTGCTGCCTCATCGATAGAAACACCACTCTCACGAAGCTTCTTCAACAATGCTGTAATGAGTACCGATTCTTTGCCACTTCGAGCCCAAACGATACTCTGATGCCGTCCTTCCGACAGCAACCGAAATGAGAAATCTCCAAGGCCTCGATGAGAAAGCTCAAAGGCACCGATGTCACTGACATCACGGCCTGCTAACCCGGCTTTGCGAGACCACTCTGTTGGTTGAACCAACTTGTGCAGCACATGGGCACCTTTGCCCAAAGGGGTCTTGTCATAGTGCTGATGGTCGGAAACAAAAGACGACGGCAAAGAGAAAGATTGATATGTGGGGCTGGCTACATGTTCCCACGATTTCTCAGAGTATTTGGAGTCCCATTTGTCTTCTTTGTCCCATCGATTCCATTGCTGTCTGTTGTCCCAGCTGTTGCTGGAATCGCTGGTGGACCATGATGACCAGGAGGCCATGGCGGGATCAGTTGTCCAGGGGAGAACAGTTGCTTGATCAGACTGACGGCTGTTGTGAAACGAAAGGGCATCAGTCCCGTCTGCAACTAGGCAATCATGCCTTGAACTACAGATGACTGCTCCGTAGAGCATTTTCGAGTTTGAGACCAGGAGGTCTTGCTTTGGGTTTGAGCCGATCAGGGCTTGGACCGATCAGGGTCCTGTGATTATGACTGGGCCGATCAGGGCCAGGCAGTAGGCAATCCTACCGTAGACGACACGATCGACGAAAGCCGTCTAGAGCACACTCGTGCAATCCTCCCTCTGGACTGATGATAATTGTCGGAACTCAGTCTTTCAACATAGAGGTATAGGATTTTAAGCCACTAGGCAGTAACATCAAACACACTTATTGGGGTTCTCGGCTTAGCCCCGAGCCATAACACTTGCAAAAAACTGGCAGGTACGCTGGGTTGATCAGACCCAGTATCAGCCGTGGCATAGCCCTCTTCGTTGGGCAACCAGCTATGCTCACGGGGTTGCCCCCCCGCAAAAATCATACATAATAGCAAACCTTGGCACACAGGTGTTCCACACACACACACACACACACACACACACACACACACACACACACACACACACACACACACACACACACACACACACACACACACACAACAACAACAACAACAACAACAACAACAACACACACACACACAAAAACACACACACACAACAACACACACACACACACACACACAAAAACACACACACAACAACACACACACACACACACACACACACACACACACACACACACACACACACACACACACACACACACACACACACACACACCCGCGCGCGCGCGCGCGCCCACACGCGCGCGCGCACACCCACACGCGCGCACACCCACACGCGCGCACACGCCCGCACACCCACACACCTGCACACCCACACACCCGCACACCCACACACCCACACACCCACACACCCACACACCCACACACCCACACACCCACACACCCACACACCCACACACACCCACACACACCCACACACACCCACACACACCCACACACACCCACACACACCCACACACACACCCACACACACCCACACACCCACACACACCCACACACACCCACACAAACACCCACACAAACACCCACACAAACACCCACACAAACACCCACACAAACACCCACACAAACACCCACACACACCCACACAAACACCCACACACACACACAAACACCCACACACACACACACACACACACACAAACACACACACACACAGGTTTAGGTTCGTTGGCGCGGCTAGGGTGTTACTCTACGAGCAGAAGGCAACAGTCCGCATGCAGGTACGTGACCAACAGCTCAGTCGATGTGTGGCTCGCAGCCCGCGATGAGCAGAAGACGTCTGCGCCTTGGTGAGCCTCCGAGTGCCATGCGCTTCTCAGCGCGGCGAGCCGCTTCAAGGCTCTATCGGATGGACCGTAGCGGATGCCTTCGCAACTCTGGGCACAGGCAGGGCTCATGATGACTCAACAAAACTGGCCTGAAAGACTGCTGCTGCTGCTGCTGCCGCTCAGTTTGGCATCAAATCACTTTGCGGATCCCATTGACCTGATGTTTGTCTTCGAAATCAACGCGTTGATGCCACGAGCTCGGGTCCTGCGCAAGGACTTGCAACGGATGCCCTATGCCGGGGAGTCGTCAACAAGGGTGCTGCATGTTCGACAGAGTTGCAAAGGCATCCCATGACACGGGTGATGCCGGCACGCCGGGTTCTGCTATACCCCACGTTGGGGCCTAAACCAGAATCAGCTATGGTGCTGAGGCAGAGCATGGGGCTCGTGTGAGATGTCCGATTGGTGTTTCATGCTTAGGTACGATCTGTCAGATGATCAAATCTCGAATTTCGAGGATCCCATGCTTGGAATTGCAATGTTCTCAATAATTGGACTGTAGCTTGTCACTTGCTTCACCACGCTAGCCAGGACCTTGGTGTTTCTGTGCTGCCAGATGATGCCGCTGGAGCCCCTGCGACCGTGTAGCAATCACTTCCTGCACTTCTAGTCATCAGCTTCGGGCCAAGATCCTGAAGCCGCCGAATCCTTCGTTTAGAAAGACGCTGGATGAGGTGGCTCAGCAAGAGTCCGTTCTTTCGCAGCTGGTGTGTTTGCGCAGGCCATCATGCAGAGGCAGCGCCGCCTTCAGAGACCCAAGGCGCTTTTGCTGCCTCGGAGATTGGATACCAAGCTCTCTCTCTCTCTCTCTCTGGACTTCGTTGGTCGAAGGACAAATTGCTGATTTTCCCTGCAGATATCCGGCCTCAGACCGAGATGCAGTCGCCAGAAGCACCGAGTTCTCAGTTCCCGCGTGTCTTTCAGGCCGATCAAGGGGCAGCTGGACTTCCTCTCCGGGCTGCTCTTCGAAGGGGCCCCCCCCTTGCGCTTCTCGTGGTGGGAAGTTGGGAACATCTGGAGCGAGTGGAGCCAGGCCAGGAAGCCATCCGCTGTCCAGCGCCTGTGCGGCCCTAAGTCCCAAGTGCTTGCTGCTGCTTGCTGCACGTGCCCAGCTCCCGATGAGCTCTGGAGAGGCGTGGGCTCACTATCGTCGTGGCCGGTGGCTGTGATGGGAACCAGACCTACTGCAATGAGGCCATGCCTGCACTACTAAGACTTCCAGAACGAGCGTGAGAGTCTCGTCCCGTTACCGGTGTCAGATGGTTCCTGGCCCTTTTCAATGGAGAGAACCTTCCTTGCCTGTTACAGGTAGACGTAGTGCTATGAGTCTGTGGCAGGTTTGGGCAGGGTGTGAGGTGCTGTGGGACGGGGCGCTTCTGCAACTTTTCCGAGCCTCTGGCGTTTTTGTGATGGAATGGCGTGGCGTCGCTGTCGCCGTACAGGGTGCACTCAACATCCCTGCCAAACCACCCCGAAGTCCGCTTGGGGAAGGTCGTGACGCTGACGCAAAAGATCAATGCGGAGAAGCTGCTCAACGTCGTCGTGGCAGACCAGCTCAAGGAGCCGGTCTCTGCTCTCTCTCTCTCACTCTCTCTCTCGCGCTCACTCTCACTCCCTCTCTCTCGTCCTTCATTGAAGGACGAAGAGCTTGCACAGCTTTTCACAGCTTCCTTGGGAATTGCCAGAATCTCGAGGGCTGTTGCTGCTGACGCACATGTTGGTGGCTGCTTTCTTTAGCCTCGAACCTGAGGTCCTGCATTCGGTGATTGACTGCAACCCTCGAGTGATCTACGAGGCAGTTCCTGCTGTACGCCAGCAGAGATAGCCGAAAGAAGTCACGTCCTGCCAATGGCACATCCTGGCACGCTGCAAACGTGTCAGGGGCTGGTCACCGACACCCCCTTCTACGTCACGGAGTCCACCCGTTTGCCGCCTTTAGTACAACACCTCGGCCAGTCACTCAACGGATGTGACTGTGAGCTGGCCGTGCAGTGTGCTTCAAGTCACGCGCGATGCGACCAGGTCACGTCACAGACGGAGACCCTGCAATGGTTGCCGAGCGGTAACTTGGATGCAACTGAAGCACTGCCGAGCATCGTACCATGGCCTGCATGGGTTTTCTGACAGCAGGTTGGCAGACTTTGTTGAGCTTTGCGAGGCTTGTCAAGCAGCCGACAAGAGACCCTTGTCTATTGTGCAGCTACATGTGTTCCTGCCATGAGGCTGGCGGCTTTACAGGCCGTCCAAGAGAGTTTGCTCGCAGGCACTTGACCGAGGCGGGCACAGTGCAAGGTCCTTCGGTCAGCCTGTTCAATTGCACGTTAAAGTGTTGTACAGGCTGACATCTACCGGAAAATGGTGGAGTGGATGGATCAGAAGTGCCATCCTCGGCACTTCATTCGTTCAGCAAAATGCCGTGGATCAGAGCATCTTTGGCTGAGGGACTTTTCCAAACAGGGGACAGATGTGCGTGAGTGGGTGTGGTCAGGTATCTGAGTGGCGTAGAGTCTCAGCCCATCATCCGTGGGGAGGCATCGGTTGCGGGCCGAAGCTCAATGCACTCCCGGATACCAGTAGCAGCATGAACTGGTGTGTGCAGGAAGCTCTCGACAGCTTCGGTGGTGGCCTGGGCAACATCCTGGGAGGCCCTCGTGTGCTGGGGGGGGGGGGCGATGGCTTTGTGTGTACTACGTTACTAAGTCTTGACGATGAAAGCAAGGAGCTGGCCTCGGGGGTCTTGGCGGCCTCGGGGCGATGGGAGGCTTGGTCACACACCTTGCAGCGGTTCTGCAACACCTGACTATCCATGTTCTTCAGGTGGGACTGCCTCTAAAGGTGGAGCATTCGGAGGAGGTGCTTCCAAATGTTTTCGCCGTCAACCCACATTAAATCCCTTGCGCACCGCTACTAGAGACTCATCGGAAGCTGGACTAGAAGTTGTGTTTCCGTCAATGCAGAGACTGGAAAGACTAAAGGATGCTCTGAGCACGCTTCTGAGCATGAGTCCTTCTGAGCCCTTTGCTGGAATTGCCAGATGCAGGAGCCGGCGCAGGCTTTTCCATCAAGGACTCGTCTTCGCGTCAGAGCGAATCACACTGCTGAGTATGCTTCCTTGACTCTGCGCAGGAGCCAGTGCGGAGGTAGCAGCTTCCAGCCTGTCTCTCTGGTGATGCTGTGGAGGGGTGCAGTGCAGTCTGGAGAGTGGAGACACCAAAATAAGCCCGACCGTGTAGTTTACTCCGAACAAAGCCCATTCAAAAAATGTTGGTATGGTTTAACGAGTAGGTTAGGATGTCCGCCGCAAGTGCCGGACATGTGCGCAGAAAAGAGTCTCATGCTGCACTGCTGCCCTGTGATTGCCCTGAGGGTTGGACCAGTTGCGGCGCAGCACCACACCACAAACGCATGCACGAACAGAAGCTGCTTCAGCGTCCTCGTAGCCCCTTCGACAAAGCGCCTTTGCAATGTGGCGCCCAGATCCAGGACCCTGCGTCGTCTGGAGCTGAGACGACGCAGCTTTCGTGTGGAGCACTACCGCAGTAGCATGCAGTAGCACACTGCAGCTCCGGACGGGAAGCAGAGCGGACGCCGAGGCACAGGTGGCTGACTGGGGCGAACATCCGGACGACGTTGAGTGCCCTGCCGCACCCACAGGGCCCCACGGCCCGAGCCCGAGCCGAGCTGCCGTCAGGTACATTCGGCAGCTAAAGGCCCTGCCAAAGAAGATTCTGAAGAGGCCCGAGAGCTCTCTCTACCATGGGCCATGTCCATGTGGCCGCGATTGGCCGCGACTAGCGGCACGTGCAGGCGTGAGATTGTTGCCAAGGACACCGAAATGGAAGCCTGCAGCTGCCTGTCGCCAGACGCTCTCAGACTGACACCAGGACTTGGACATCAAGCGAGTTTGCCAGAAGCAGGGGAAGGTGTGGCCGAGGATATGTCTGGGACCCGTACTGTGATTCATTTTCTTGTGTGCAGGTCCACTTTTCCGTTGCCTGCTGGAATTTGTCAGAGTACTCTCGCAGTGGCGGTCTAGATGCACAGGTGCGCACTTGTTGCACTTCCTGCTACTATTCAAGTCTTCCATAAACACTGCAGTCCTCTGCGCATGATTCGTGCAGGTTTCCAGCCTGATTCACGTCTTCTATGAGGGAAAGGATGAGCGGAAGGCCGTGTCAGGTCCTAGATCGCGAGGAAGCTTGATGAGCTCTCTGAGCTCACTTGCAGGTTCTGAACGTGTTCTCTTCTGCCGGCATTGACCTTGAGTCGAAAGCTTACTGCCTGAACCGACTCTCTCTTTCTCTCTCGCACTCTCGCTCTTTCTCTCTGTGACACTGCAGCCTGACCGAGGTCTGCTGAGGCTGTGCCGGTGGATCCAAACTCCAGTTGCTACCCTGGAGTCTGCAAAAGCAAAGCAGATGTGAGCTTAACTGTCTGTTTCTGAGGCAAACGCCACGAGCAGCAGATCATGTATGCCAAGGAGTGTCTGTACATTCAGGAGTGGGCCGGCCTGCTCTTCAAAGCGTGCCCCTTGTTGGACCGCACGCAGACTGCAAGGACGAAAACACATGGGAAGAAGGACAGCCGCTATCCCCCGATGAAGTCAAGCAGAGGCCTCCAAGCACCGTTGCCCTGAGAGTTGCAAATGCAAGCAAGCGCGGTAGATGCTCCTCGCCTGCACGGCCAGGTTCCAGGGCCGTATGAAGGCATAGACTCGGCCATTACCCATTCACGTGAGGCATATGTCGCGGACACATCTGGGGAGGCATACGCATTTGTATTGAAGCCCGCTCCAATAGGATACAGAGCGAGAAGCCAGAGAATAGATCCCTTCACTGCTTCGTAGACTCACTTCTGGTCCTTACGGCCTGTTTGACAACCGAAGTGTGAGTGCGGTATGAACTCGCCCTGAAGCAGCTCTCGGATTCTTCCGAATGCACGGCCCGAAAAAAGAGTCGCTGCTTCCGTGATCGCTCTGGGCATGTTTCATACACCCAGAAAGTCGGGGACTCGCACAGCATGTCGCAAGCAAGGGTTGGGCTCTGAGAGCAAGACGCAATACGGTAGTGCCTGAACACGAAGACACGAGGACAAAGGACATCCAGGATTTTTCCGGATCGGTTACACATTGTTCGCTGGGTTGCCTTGCCACACTCTTGCCCTCATGGAGCTCCTTGACAAGATCGTTCTGAACTCAGACTGGCTTCAGCTTTGTGCAGCAATGCTTGCAACCCCCCTCTCATACTCCCTGCTGGGTCGGTGAACGACATGTGCAAAGCCTTGCACTGTTGATCCTCGCCAGCCTTGTACAGCGGTCGAGGCGATCTATGTTGCCATCATCACACCCCTCATCATGGTGTCCAAGCCCATTCTACCGAAGGCCCGTTCCCTAGCGTGCATTCTGCCAGCAGGTTCATGCAACAAGACCTCAACATTGCGCACCTTAACGCCCTACAGTCTTGAAGGTCTTGTAATGGCAGACCGGCATGTGCTCCTGTTAAGGAAAGTTGGCAGTGCCGGTAGCTTTCACCGGTCTCAGCATTTGCCGCTATGATGGCTGGACCCATGTCAGGTGGTCTGGGGATATGACTTTCTGCCCCAAATGGCATGTCATATGCCGGGACTTCAGTAAGGCATATGCGCAGGTTTGCAGCAGGGCTTGCAATAAGCGTGCCGGTCGAGTTTCCAGGTGGTCCTTCGTGATTGCTTGCTTCATCCTGTTGCACAGCGGCGGGGAGGAATGGATGGCATCTGGGTTGAAATGGATCCTAAGCACAGGTTCATATCAGCTTGAAAGTGCGATCGGGACAACAGCGGTTCCGGTGCTTTGCTGATAGCTGCTAGCCGAGCAATGTATGCAGCTTGTTTAACTGTTCGTCATCGAAGGAATTGTAGCGCATTTGCATTTGCAAGACTTATTTGGTAATCTCATCAGCAACTTGAGGCCTTTATCTCCTTTGCATCAGCAATGTTGATCGTGGGAAGCTCAGTGCAGCGGTTCATTGCGGAGTTCCGAACGGATGTCCATGTTTCAGCAGGTCGCCAACTTGGCGACCATGGGATTCTCCCTGGACCTGTCTGCTCCGGCAGTCATCCTCCGAGCTGCACACGCTGTTTCTTGCTAGAAATGTTCTGCAGTGTTGCTTTGCTCAGGTCGCTTTGCTCTGGGAGTTCAACTACCTGCTGGAGCGCTTTCAGCGTGACGCCAAGTCAACAGAACCACTCGATTAGTGCTTCGGGCGGCCGCTTGACAGCTGTCTTGCACTCAGGTAGGGGCCTGTGTGAGAGTTCCGGTACACCCGTCAGTTCTCACGCATTGAATTGTTTGCTGTACTACTTGGGGCGAGCCTCCAATTTTCGCGGCTTGAAGGGATGGACAATGACATGAGGCATGGTGTGAATTTCTAGCTTCCGAAAGCCCCCTAATCTTGTGGCCTGCCGGTGGAGCCCTATAGAGCGCCTCAAGACGTGCACGGAGGTTTCGGCTAAGAAGTGTATTGAACATCCACCGGAACATGTGATCCGATTGTCTCGGGAGGGAAAACTCTGCACTCTGCGCGCTTGACCTGTCACGCAGCATTGTACGACTTGGACTGGTGCACAGAAATCAGATGCTTGACTTCGCCGTTCTCAAGGTGCGTACGTCAGAGACAGGGTTTCTAATTGAGTATACAGTGCAGGCTCTTTGCCAGATTTGGTTGTTTCGAGTAGCGGCAAAAAGGGGAGGGTGCACTCATATCAAACATGGAGCTGGTGGACAAGATGGCCGCCATGCTCAGACGCATGGAGTCTGTCCAACCCACTGAGAACAGAGACTGCCGCCCGAGGCGATCTATGTCGTGGTGATTACACCACTCATCATGCTGTCCAAGCCTATTCTGCCCAAGGCATTCTGCGACGGTGCTAGCAGTACCACGATATAGCAGACGAAGGTGAGGGAGATGGAGAGAGGGAGACGGAGAGAGAGAGGCTGAGTGCAAGCAAGAGAGAGAGAGGGATTTCGGCTCAAGTCGACCCGCCGCTTCCCTCTGGCCTACCTCGCGCTTGGTGCCTCCCAGCAGTGCGTGACAGCCTCGATTCCCCGCAACATCATGCAAGATCTACCGCGACCGGGGAGAGCCCGTACGTCGTGATCGTGACAGCGGCAGAGAAACCGCGAATAATAAGGTTGCCCACGCGATGACGGATGCGACAGAGGTCAGCAAACCGAAGGGGGGCAGCCCTGTGAAAGTCCTTCCATGCCTCAGGTGCCGCAATGGAACCTCGTTTCATGAGGGACACCGCAGAGATGACCCGGACTGTGAGCTACATGGTTGTGAGAGCGGGGATCCCAAACAGATCCATGCTTTCCTCAGGCAACGGAAGATAGACAAAGCAGTGCAGGAAGCCCTCAAAGAAGACACAACACCGACCTCTACGCCGAGGAACTCCGCACCTACCACTGTGGGAAACAGCTGTCCGGGGGAGACCCCGAAAGTCACCGCTCTCCTTTGTCGACAATGCCTTGAAGGAGAGCAATGTCACGCTGCACATGCTCCCTCCGCCGATAATTGCATCCTGTACGGGGTAAGCAACCCGACACCCGCCAAGGCCAAGCAACTGCTACTTGAGCAAGAGATTGCCTTGGCTCGGGATGAGGCGACCCGCTCTACAGCGAATTCGTGCTCCCCCGTCCCTTCCCCCTACAAAGGTCAAAAGAAAATGCACGGAGCAGATCAAGACCACCCAGGTTGTGCCGGAGCGAAGCTCAAGAGCGAAGGGCCGGACGACCCCATGTTAGGGAAATCCTGGGCCTGCCTCGGCAAGCTGAGCCACCTGAAGCTCGGAAGCACGACATAAAGTCTCCAGTCCGAGCGGTGGCGAGCCCACCGGCAGAGCTCACACTGCCACCCCATCTCAGCCAAAGGGGAACTCCCCTGACGAGCAGCACTGCGGGGGAGACCCCTTTGACTTCGATACATGCGCGACATTCAAGAGTTCTACGGGGACTTGCCCTGCAGCAAGGCGGAGCTGCCCAGGAAGTTGCTTGGCTTAAGCAACCTGACAAGCCGCTCTCTTGCAACTCCGGGAGAAACCCCAGCGGCCCTCACTCACGCCGTCGCGAACGACACGATGCTCTTCAGGAGCAAGCCTTACTACAAGACCGACTTCCAACACGACGAAGAGAGGGTGGAACTACCACAGCGTGTGACGTTCCCAGACGTTGGCCTTCACACTATTGTCGACGTTATTGATGAATACGACCCTCGCGAGGTCCGACAACCGAAGGGGAAGAAGCCCCCGCTACCAGGCCAGCAGCAGCCGAAGACGAGCAAGAGGCCATCGATGACGAAGGCATAGGCCGCCATGCTCCTGCTTCGCCTGCTGGGGAACCGCCGGCTCTGGCTGATCGACAGCGTAATCGCCTTTACCAACTATTCCAAGAACGCAACGACCAGGGGAGACCCCCTTATAACTTGGACCAGTACCAGACGGACGAGGAGAAGTGGAGCACCTATACATAGAAAGGTTACCAAAGGGGCATACCGAGATCAGAGACGAGAACAAAGACAACACAGATCATGGAAGCCAGATTCAGAACGGTGAGCCAAGAAGCGGGAGACGCAGTGAGCAGCAGAAGAGTGAGTGAACAACGCCACGTCCTGATGCTTCCTGTCCAAGCTTTCAGAGGGGAAACCCCGGTCATACCCCGATTCGGTCACTTCGCTGTCTGCACTGAGGTGCTCTGGTGTTATCTTTGTTGCTATACTTTGCACCGTCCAACAACAGCGATAGTTACCTTGCCTACTGTACCGGCTTGCATGTTTCAGTTGACTTCGATTCGCACAGCTTTTCTATCCAACTTCGCTAGGTACCTGACGGGGTTAAACCCCTTTTCCAACGTTTTCCTTTAGCTTAGACGGGCCGCTGAAGCCTTCCAAAATCCTCGAAACCTCGCCTCCTCTTTTGGGCCATGTACAATACCGCATGTATATTATTGATTCCCTGACCGCTCACTTTTTTGCCTATGCAGGGCAAGCGGACAATGAAGTTTAGAGGGCATGTGTTGTTGGAGTACCAGCTAGCCGGTAGTCACTGCTCCCTCAGTTTGCCGTTGTCGCTTTTTCACCTGGCTTCCCCAAAACATTTGGGGGGCGCAGAGCGCCGGGGAAGAGGGTCGCTCCCTCTTCCCTTACCCTTCGCGAAAGAACGAGAGAGAAAAAGTAGAGCATCACCAGCATGGGGCCAGACGAGGTGCGAGGCAGGGGGTTCCAATAGGTTGTGACAAGGGGGTTTGGCCAGAACCTGACCGTGCCAAATCCCTCCAGACTCACACGGACTTGAGACCCAGTGCGCACGAGATGTGCGGGGGCGGGGGCTACATCGTCCTCTGGCGCTGCGTGCAGATAAGAGAAAGCGAGAGAGAGAGAGAGAGAGAGAGAGAGAGCGAGCGAGCGAGCGAGCGAGCGAGTGAGCGCGCGGGGGCTATGGCCGTGTGGAAGAAGCGCTTGTTAGTTTACGATGCATCACAGGTTGTTTGGGGATACGACTTCCTGCCTCAGATGGCCTGCCACATGTCAGGCGCCGAGCACCCATAGCAACGTAACAGATGCGACGGTTTGAGATCATGGCGGGCCTGGTTACTGCTTGTCACATGGTGCGCCTGCAATAGATGAGGTGGTCCTTCGTCATCGCTTGTTTTATCCTGCTGCACAGCGGAGATGATTACATGGAGTCTCGCCTGCAAGTTCTGGGTGCTTGTCCGAGCTGGGCTCTACGTGAGAGGTGTCCCAAGCGGCGATACAGTCACGAGTTGCACGTGGAGGGCTCTGCCATTCCAGAGTTGAGGCCCTGATCTCGTTTGCCTCGGCTATGCTAATTGCCTTGACCTCGACGGGTCTGGTCTGAGCTCGAACACATTGTCAGTGATGCTTTTTGCCGCCCCACCGCCTGGTTCATGTGAGCCTCCGTTGACAGTGACTACGACAACTAGAGACAGAGGAAAAACATATGAAGACACATTAGGACAAACACTGACAAGAAGATGGTAAAATTACAGATTGACCAGGATTTGCCTGGTTTTTCGGAGCACAAAGTGTGTCGTGATCTGAACTATTGGCTTTTGTGGTCTGGTTGGTGAAGAGTTGTGAACTACTCTGTCTTCTTGCTCCATGAGCTCTGACTCTTGTTGAGAACGAGGTCGCAAATTTGGCCACCATGGGATTCTCCTTGGACTTGTCCGCCCCAGCAGCTAGCAGCCTCAGAGCGGCTTGGGAAGGGGTGGCCGCCTGGGTTTGGCCTCTGTCGCCTGGGTTTCGACCGAGGTGGCGCTTCTCTGGGAGTTTTGCTACCTGATGAACCGCTTCCAGCAGCTGCCAAAGTGCTGCTCACCACTGGACAAGAAACACTCGAGTTGAGTAGCCATCTCTTCGTTTGTCGCCATGCTGGGCCTAAGGTGACGTAGATGCTGTGGTTGACAGCACCTGAGAACTGACCAGCGGCCTCCAGAACTTGAAGAATTTTCTGGCCAACGCATATTTAAGTTTTCACTTGCTGCAGTTCTGAAGTGAAGTATCGGCGGAAGTGGTAGTAATTTTAGATTCTTGTCCGTGGAGATTCACAGGTGAGCTCTTGATACATGAGGTTTGTTACATCTTGCTTGGCCTGGACCTCGGGATGCCTCTTCTTAGACACTATTGAAGAGGGTACCTGCCGATGCTTGCGAAATCGATTGATATCGATTGTCAGTCATGACATGCGCGAAGCCAACGCCCATATCCGGGAAAAAGAATCAGCTTCGATACCGGAGGCCCAAACGCACTACATCGAAATATAATGAGTGCTACATGACTATTCAAGAGTTTTCTTCGAGAAGAGTATGTTCAACACAGCGATTTGAATGGATTCGTACTTGTGCTGCTGCTCCTACTTGACTACTACCACTACTACACCTCCTCCTGCCACCACTACCACTATAATCACGGCTTATACCACTCTACTATGCTATTACTCACCGCTTTTCCACTACCCGATTTCGCCACTGTGTCTACTTGGTATTGCGACATTGGCACTGCCATCCTGGCACTGCTGTCCTTATTGCGACGGCTGCTGCTCGTGCTCGTGGCACTGCTATTCCTGTTATTCCTATGGTTACGGCTGCTACTCATGCCCGTGCTATTACTATTATTATCGTTATTCCCCATATTATTATACGGGAATTTAATTTAAAAAATCATATAGTATGGATATTC